TTTTGGGGGTTTTGGCTTTGGCTTCGTTGAAATCGCCGTGGCTTTCGTTTTCAGAACCCAAAATTATGAACCTCCAATTTTAGGGTGTGTTTAATTTTTAGGGTAAAAAAAAAAAACTAAATGGCATTTTGGATAATATGATAAAGTTTATATGGTGAGAGGTCTTTTTACTTAAAATGTGAGTTAAACTAGTAAAATTTTTTTTAGGTGGGTTAGTCTAGTTATTTTTTTATAGTTTTGAGTCATTTTGGGTAATTGTCACTTAATTTTTCCTCTGTTATTTATATTCAGCCCCTTACAAATCTGAAGAAGATGAATTTGGCAAAGTCCATGGATTTGAAGAAACTCCCAGATCTTTCAAAAGCTACAAATCTCGAGTGGTTGGTTCTGATATGGTACCTCAATTTGGTAAGATTCCTTCGTCTATTGCAAATCTTCAGAAACTAAAGCGTTTGGATATGAGATACTGTTTAAAGCTACAAGATGTTCCGACTCACTTCAACTTGGCATCTCTTGAATACGTCGACATGGTAGGATGCTACAACTTGAGAAAATTTCCAGATATTTTCATGAACATCAACAAACTCGAAATCACATACGCAATGTTACAAGATAATTTGCCCCGGTCAATTAGGCTCTGGTCTCGTCTTCAAGCTCTCATTGTATGTGGCAGTGACAATTTACCTACATTTGTGGCAGAACTTTATCTAGCGAGAGGTCCAAATATTGAGGAAATTCCAGATTGCATCAAAGATCTTCATGGGTTAGAAGTGCTTAGTATAATTGGTTGTCCAAAACTTGCATCACTGCCAGAGCTCCCTGCCTCTCTTAGTGGACTAATATTAGAGGATTGTGAATCATTGGAGACAATAATGCCTTTCCCTTTCGAGTCTCCAATTGATTATCTCCAGTTAACCAACTCCTGGAAATTGGGTGAAGAAGCACGTAGAGCAATTACTCAGCAATCAAGTGGTGATGCATGGCTACCTGGAAGAAATGTACCCACAGAGTTCACTCACCGAGCTTTTGGAAATTCCAAGTATAGGCTTCTCCAAGGAATACAGGTATTGCTGTTGGGGTCGGATTTCACCCGCTCAACGTTGAAGTCCAAAACTATGCAAGCGCAGCGCATAGACACAAAATCGCGTTAACATACATATATCATATGACTCTCCCAAGTCATTTCCTAACAAGAAGATGAGGTCTTTCTCCTTTCCTAAGTCTTTTCCGACCAAAAAGGGAGCCTTCTGAGTCCTCTCTACTCCCAGCAAGGTGCAGAGCCAGCAGAGCCAACGATGTACAGAGCCAGCGATGTGCAGAGCCAGCGATGTCACAGTGCCAACAAAGACACTGGCCACCGAAGACCTGCCAGAGTAACGACAAACGCCAGAAGGTTCTATGTGCTAAAGCCCAGTCTAAATGCGAAGCCCACTTTGATATAACTGATGTAAGGAAAAGAAAATCCGCGACGACTTAGGAAAGTTAACATTATCTTTAGGAAATAGGTCTAGCCGACTTAGGGAGCTATATATATCAATGTACAAACCCTTGTAAAAGGTATCTACAACTTTATTCACAAAACCATATACAGCAATAACAAACGTTTCTCTTTGCTCATCGTTTCGTTCGTAGTTTAACCTAGAAATCTTTGTTTCCTCACGAAACCCTTACCAATCTAATTGTGCTAGTTTCGACTCCCACAATTGCGTCGTGGTTTCCCCTAATCAGCAGATGAAAGAAGAAGCTGACTTATTGTTTCGACAACACAGTTTCTCCGGGGAACACAGAGTTGCAACATCCCCAAGCTCCAAACGGAACATCTATTTATACGACAAGTTGAACATCTGTGTAAATGCTCTTTCTTGTTCAGCCTTGACGGGCTTCACCGCTAGCAACTCCTCTACTAGATTCTCACTTCATTGATGCAATCGTGCTCTCTAGCTTGTTTCTCTCCACTGTTGATCCAAGCAGGTCGACAATGAATTTATAATAGATCGGAGGTCGGAGAATCTCGTATATAGAAAGTTGAGTCGAAGAGGTGTAAGTACAAATAGATCGCTAAAGATAGTCCGGACAGATCCCGTGCTATCAGTTCGCNAGCTAAGAGATCGTGGTAGATCNGACAGNCNCCGAACTACCAGATTTTGAGTATAAAGAGTATAATTTAGAGAGCTCGCGAGTGGCGGCGCTTGTACTTCTTGANGAATNAGTGAATGANTTGTCACATCACCCTTTGACCTCTATTTATAGTGAAANNCGNCGGGTTTAACTTGAGTTCAGCTGACCGTGGTTGATCTGATATACCCCTGTTTTGACCAAGCTCAGTTCGGATATGCCTTAGGTGTGATCAGATCGCGGTTAACAGTTGGAATGGGCCTCTGGCAGCTCGCTGGGCTTCTCCCGAACTCGCTGGGCCTCTGCTTCCTTTGGTGATTTGCGACTTGCGATCTGCTCAGAATGTTGGGCCGCAGGTCCGGGCCCAGCATCCACTTTATCGATACAATCATTTCTCTCTGTACTGAAGCCTCCTCAGCTTCCATAACAGATTCTCTCGTCTCTTCCAACTCAAGTCTTACAGGTTATGTACCTGTAAGATGAGGCTGCTTTTGTATTTTTCAGGTTCTCATTCTCAACCTTCAGGATTATGATCTCTTTGGTTTAAAATTGCAGTAACATCATCTTATGTCTCTTTTGATTCTCTAGATCACTGGATTTCTCATCATTATTCTCTAACATAAACAAAAATCCGTACAAACGACTTCTTGATTATTCGCTCTAGGAATTATGTCATTCAAACACAAACCGGAGATAGTTATGAACTTATGATGTCTTGCAAGCCATATCCGATTTGAGTTTGGTTAGGATTAATAAAATTTGGTTAGTTCGGTGTTAATTCGGTTCGGTTTTAATAAAAGTTTCATATAATATGATGCTTCAGGGTTGACCCCCTAAAGCTTAGAACCCTGTATAGCAAGATATCCTTAGGGTTTGCAACAAACCTAAGGAAATTGATATGACTCCAAACAGAGTTGTTATCCAAGATCATCAACTGCATCAAACACATAAAATTGTATTAATAGCTATTTGGAATTAAAAGTTGAAAACACAAACCAACTCCACCAAACTCATAGAGAGCCAATTAAAAAAACCCTAAATCGAACTAGGGTTACTTATCTTTGGTTAAAAGAACAAACAAGTGGAAAACACTTGTCAACTGCACCAAACTCACAAAAACCCTAAATCGAAGTAGGGTTACTTATCTTTGGTAGAGACTCCATACTTTTCCTGCAACTTGGCAATC